GACAGCTGCCTGTGGTGGTGACGATCTGGGGCAGAGTTTGGCTAGGTTGATCTCGAGACTACAGGGAAACACAATAGCCAAACCAGCAAAACTCCGAAAAAGTGGAAACCATGCTATGGCCAGCACACCTAGTGAAGAGGAGCCAACCAAGTATCCGAGTAAGAGTTTATACTTAATGAATCTACCGCTGACTCCTCTATGTTATCGTCAGTGCAGTTCTTTGTTTATAACACTGGCTTCTGCCTATTGAGTACATCACCGTCTATTTGTTGTGTGTAGACTTTCCTTTATCTCATCTTATTATTGAGGATGTAGTAATATTATCTATTTGAAAGTTTACTTAACCAAATTCGATGTTGGCATAAAAGTGTGCTTTACACGAAATTTCAAGAACATTAGGAACTCTTATATAAATCCTGCATATTGAATCTTGAAAGCGAAAAGTTTTTAGTAGATAAAATGCGTTTTTTTGGATATGAAGTTCAAAATGGCGAGGGAGAATAGTGATTGTTCTCCCATAGGTGGTAATGCGGTGACATGCGTGGTCTAGACTGCTAAGAGGAAAAAAAGCAGAACTGTTGCATTCTTATGAACCATGACAACGATGTTCCAAACTGAACTAAGGGGGATGCAGGCGAAGAGTTCTTGACTTCCATAAAGGTTAAATATTTCTGGACATTTTTGAGTATTCACTTTCTTTGGATTGCTCAGCTTATACGAGGCTGTCACACAGCTTTCATTCGGCTAACGTTTAGACGTCTTTGTCTTCCTCAGAGCCGATGATATGAGCAGGTCCATAGTCGTTCGTCTTCTCAAAGTGGTGCCTTCGTCGTCTTAACAAGTCGAATCTTCTTCAGTAAAGTGACATGACATTTTAGTGCGAATGACAATGTTTTTACTGCAAGCCATCTTTAACAAGTCTGCTGCGGGTACCCCAACGACGAAATACTATTTATAAGTCGAAAAGTAGCCTAAGTGATACGTATGAAATTCAATCGTTATGATGAGTTCAAATGGTAGGTCTGCACAAATATTTCCCCACAGCTATTTTTATCCCAACCTTTATCCTTGGTGCTGCCGCCATCAAGGTAAATAGCACTATAGGAAAGTTCTTGTAAATATTATTTCGATTCGAAAACAATAGTGCCATTCCGTTCTTAGGAATTTTGCGAGGACACTTGCTAACAAATATCCATCGCTGACATTGATGCTTTATGGCATAGTAGAGTTTACTTGGTGCATAACTGCTTGCTATATAGTGCTCTTTCTGAAATTCAGTTTACAATGGCATTGAAAGGCTTTCAAACGCATAGTTCGAAGATAGTTCAAAAAGTTTTGTAACGGAGATATGGGCTTTTACAATGTAGGAGATAGGCGTCTACAAGCAGTGCCGACTATGATCCGAAGGTAAAAAGCGGAGCAAATCCACTGAAATACTTGACCAGTTGCCGACCAGCTCAGTGTTAGCCAATCAACAAACAATCGTTCGTCGTTTTGGGGATATCTAGAAAGAAGCTCGTTGAATGAGTACCACAGAAGTAGACCAGTAATGAAATGGCCATTGTGAAGCTTATTCTATTCCTCTTTTACGCAATAAAATCATCCCATTTATAATGGTTTTGTGAGGTTCGATAAAAATTATGTTCTACATGGCAACCAGTGGTGTTCACCACAGAGGTTGCATTCGGATGAACCTCTTGAGCACCACGCAAAGCTAATTTTGAACTAAAAGTTAGTCATCATTTCTCCCCAGCCCATAAGTTACTAATTTTTCAAGCACTGAAAGTCCTTTTAAAGACCTTCAACAACCAAGTCACTGATGAAAAATATCTGTGAAGGATTTCACCTTCCAGAAGCTTAGAATTAATAATCTTGCGGGGAAAAAGATGTGCATTCTAGCTGCTCTTTTTCTAATTGGCGCAGCTGGTTTTAGTACCGAGTAGTGATGTTTCAAAGTTCCAATTCAATATATGTTTCAAATATTTTTCAACTCGTATTCCATCAAGGTTCTGTTTAACGAATAACCGTTTGAAGTTTGTTTTTTCAGCTTGTACTCGAGGATGGATTATTGTGAAACGAAAAGAAAAGCGAGAGGAGATGAAATATTAACCGTTCTTTTTGAGCTCAGATTAGCCCACTGCTTCAAATCGAAGGCTTAGTTCATCCGCTTCTTTCCGGCTGTGAGTACTAAAAGAATTGCCATTGTAGGGTGCGTAAATAACAACGGCCCGAAGTGCCCTCATTTGTTGGAGTGCGAGGTATTCGATGGAGAGGGAGAGCGGACGATTACGATTCGGCACGTCGGGCACTTGGAAGGGCAAAGGAAGGCTGACAATACTTGAGGTTGGATGCGAAGCGAAGAGCTGATGAAATTCGCATGCACTAACGACCTTATAACACTAATCGGTCCTAATCGGTAAAAACCAACTTTAATTTAAACTTGGGACGAATAATTAATACCTTCTTGAATTGCTAAGCTAGTTTGAGCAGTGCTTAGCTCCACTAGATTCAACTCAATGCGACGACAACGACCCAGATCGCAGAAAAAAGAAAAAAAGAAAGCGGCTGTGGACGATCGACTCGAACCAACGTAGCTCTGAAGAAGCCGAAGTCGACGAAAAGTTAGCCGAGCAAAATTTTATAACAACTTTGTGTTGACTTAAGAGTGTAAAAGATTACCAGTCAGTATAAAACTCCGTGGTCCTTTTCATCTTTGAAGGTTTATTCTACATGTGTAGATACAACAGGGATGATAGTAAACCCAGTGTGCCGTGGTCGCACATCCTTCAGGACTATTGACAACCTTGATATGCTGAATACTCTAAATGCTAAACTGGTTTTAAACGAATATTCGTCAGCAACTGCCCTCCAGATCTGCGAACTTCGGCATGCGCGATGAAGGCATGCATGATATTTCAAGAATGAGAGTACATTCGCGTATGCCTTGCGATTTGCGGCAGCTTCCTGTGTGTTAAGAGCAGAGCTACGGCTTTTTATGGAGGTACTTTCGGTATTAAAGCAGAAGATCTAACGCAACTTGTCACAGGAAGTGTGCTTGTTGGAATCGTTTCTTAATGATATAATGCTTCGATTGGAAAATCAGGAAGAAAAAGGAAAAGTTCTCGATGAGCCTTAGCCTAGGTAAGTGAGATTCGGCTAGTGGCAGTCCGTTATTTCCGTGTTCCCAAGCTCCCATATGTTCCCATATGGCTTTCGTATAAATGACCTTAAAGCAAGATTTTAAGGAATCATTAACAAGGGCATTTTTTATCGTTCCAAGAAAGTCTGGCCCACTAAACTTTCCGGTTTCGCTAAGTGAAGAACTCGGTGTGCCTAAGGTGCGAGGTGGAATCAACGACCTTGTTTGCAATTTAGGGCAGCTAATTTTTTCTAGTCCCTGTGCTATGCGTGCCCCAGGAATAATAAATGGGAGTAATTTGGCATCAGATTTCATCGAATAATTCGTCATCGTGTCGTGTGAGAGTCGATGGAATTCATCATCTTGTTTTTCGTTGGCAATCCTGTTTTAAGATGCTTAACACTTACTAATTATTGCCGAAATAAATAGTAGATTGTGTCGATCGATGGGCGCGTGTGGCGCAGTGGCCGGAGGCGTCCCGCAACACCCATGTGGAATGGATCCTCGCACCCATGGCCCACCAAGCCTTCCATCCATCCGAGGTTAGCAAATTGGTACAAGACTTGCATGGGAGGAAAGCAGCACTGGCTCAATACATTGGCAGGCCACCGCAATTCATTGTAAAGGCCAGATACGCATCCAGTCATCTCCAAACGATGCTTAATGAAGCTGAATGTATGGTGTATCCTTCAGGGGATTGATCAAAGCTAAGAGCTTTATCCTTTTATTGATCGACGAAAATCACTGGCATTAGGTTACTCTCATGGTCGCTGGTTTTCAAGCATTTTCGAAAATGGCTTTATGGAAGACGTAGATTTTTGTTGAACGAAGCAGTTAAGATCACGTCATTCGTCAGAAGTGAGTTGTGTGCTTGTCAAATTAAAACACATCACGACATATTATTTAGCAAGACCACGATGAAAAAACGAGAGCTTCATATCTGTAATGACGGTCATCCGTCTATGAATACTTGTATCGAAGGCGTTTCATAAAGACATGCATGTGTATGTAAAACAACTCATAAGCACAACGGCACTACACTAAGTTGAAGGCGATCACTTGCGTTTCTCCTCGAATTTGATTGACTCCAATCGTACGACGTTGTTTTCTGAAACAGTCAGTTTGCGGATGAGAACGAAACGCCTCTGGGTAGAGGTCGGCCGTGGCATCGTTGCCGCCGACTCGACCACCACCTCGTCGCAGACGTTTTTACGTACGTGGAAAAGCTAGTGTCAGTGCCAAACTATCTAATCTATAAGATTCCGCTGTTATCAGGTCAACTCAAACATTGTGTTATGTCATCAGAAGGAAAAGTAACAAAAAAATAAGGATAATTTGAAAACAGTAGAAAAACACGGAAATTTTTTTGAAAAAGTAGTATAACTTTTTCCTAGCACTTTTGCTTTACCACATAACGGATGCGCGACTTTTAGCAGATCTGCCTCTTGGGAGGAAGCCTAGTTTCCGGCCTTTAAGGAGTTGCCGGTTTTTTTGAAAATAAGGGATAATTTTTCGAAAAATAGGGACTGGGGGCGCTGTTAGCATGACAGGATTGTGGAAGAGAGTTTACTCTATCGTTCCGCGCTTATGGATGGGGTGTATGCCACTGTTCACAATGTGTAACCATCGCCAATCATACACAGACTTTGCTTTTAGCACTGGCAAGTGTTTTGTAATTTATAGTGGGTCTACGTCGGTATTTGTTTTTGTACCCGCACATTCCCTACAACAATTATGACCCATAATAGCGACTAAAATGAAAGAACACTTAGTGGTCGACCAAATCATCGGTCGATATAGGTGTTTGAAAAGGGTTTTTGGAAATCGTTAGCTGTAAAGAATGGCTTTTCCAGTTCGGTCTCTACGACCGAATAGCTATTAAAAACTGAATCAAAGAAAGGACTAGTGCAAAATTGATGAAAATTGTGAGAACGTCACCTTTCCTCGTGTCAGGCACTTTCATGGTGATCATCGCCGGAGAACCAAGAATCTCATCTGGAACCAAAAAATTGAGAGCACCATTTATGCGTGTTGGAGTATCTACAATTTTCTTTTGTTCGATATTTTTACTTTGACGTCTGAGCAAAATAGAGGCTTTTGGATTCAGGATCACAACAATGTGTGGCTTCATGTACAATCAGAAACTCTCACTCACTCTTGGTGTCCTTTTGTGGTCGTGGACTATCTGGAGGCACTGTAGGTGGTGCAAGGTGACCGTGTAATACGGTCAGATCCGCCTGAGCTAAGCAACTCAATTTTTCATGGACTGATATCTCTTCCACCAAAAACAGATTAAAATCAGAAAATTCAGCGGCAAAAATCAATGTAGTAATCACTCACATCCTTGGAGTCTTGTCGAAACGCCATCTGACGGACTAAAGTTGGTCGACGTACACCCAACATGACATTTTTTTAAGCGATAAAAATAATCTGCAAACGAAAATACAAGGCAGAGCGGCTTACAAGTAACGATATGGAAGTAGAGAAATGTTGTACGAATAACTTTATCGAAAATGGAAAAGAAATGGTAAGAACGGATATCTGTGTAAGAGGTTCGAAGGGATTCGCAAAGTTCCCGAGAATTCGATAGAGATTTTAGCAATACAACGTGGCTATCAAACCAGCATGTTCTACCGCGCTTTGTTATTCGTTTGCTAATAAGCTTCCCGTTCCATTTCACTGACACTATGTAAGCTTTACCATTTCTTTTCGCCGACTTTTTCCATTGGTTCGTCATCTGGTCTCAATTCCATCTACAGCTGGCATTCCGTGCAAAGCACAGCGGTATGAATTTGTGTTAGACTTTAATTTTTCGATGAGCGCTGATGGGATTTGATGAGATTTTCCAATTGATTTTCGCTTTATTTGAACAAAAATATTATGCTAACCGAAATTTGACACCGTTTGATTCTCCACGATGTACGCGGGTAACACAAGTTTCTTTGTTAGGCAGATTTACTCAGACGGTGGAGGTTTCAAAGAGTCAGAGTAATTTTTACTTTTTTTTTATTTTCTGCCTTCTATTATTTTTATGTCAGAGTATTAAACGAAATACAACCACAAGATTGCTGAGATATTTGCAAAACTCCGGACCGCAGGTGTCCGCGGTGGGGAACGAACGCGCTATTGACCTTATCGGGGAGTAACGCGTTCACCACCACACCATGCGGGTCCTTCGTTTCGCCTGTCTCTCAGCTAGTTCTATCGATCTGTGCCGTCAGAGCAATTATTTAGACGTCGCGAATCCACTCGTGTAAACAACTTAAGTGCTTTTTTTTTTACCATTGGACTGTTTGACAACATGTGGACTTCACAACTTTACGGAAGAGACTTGGAACTGTCGCTCTAATAGTAGAACTTTTCCACAACATTATCTTCACTGTGGCACGTGTAGCGCAGTGGTAGGTCTCGCTCTGAAACACACTCGTGGGATCAGTCCTCGCGCCCATGGCCCACCTGGCCTTCCATCCTTCCGGGGTTGGCAAATTGGTACCAGACCTGTCTGGGAGGATAGCAGCACTGGCTCGATACATCGGTAGGTCACCGCCAATCATTGTAAAGGCCAGATATGCATTCAATCACCTCCAACGATACTTAGTGAAGAAGTGGAATGCATGGCGCATCTCTCAGGTAGTGATCAACGTCGAGAACTTTTATCCCTTGTAAGAATAAGTTTCAGAAAACTTTCTGATCATGGAAGAGAAAGACAACAGTTTCTCTTCGGCCTATAATGTCTTCATTCATTCATTAAACCCAGTAAATGCACATATGATTGGCTATCGCTGTTCTTGTTGATGAGCAAAACTTTGGTGAACACCTGAGAAATAAATGTGCCTTGATGAAGAATGTTCCTCTAAAAATGAAGCATCTACCAAGCGCTAGTGATTGCGGTTGTCTCATTAGAAGCTGAGCACATGGGATGTAAATAATTGTAACATAACTGATCACAGCAGTAAGAAAAATGAAAATATCACAAGAGAACAGAATAAGATAAATTACGAAAATCTATCCCTATTCACTGGCATATTAGCGCTCTCAGCATGCCGTCTTCAGTGCTTTTCCAAAAGTCTCATTTGTTAAAAGGAATTGAGCATTTGTTGAATTTAACACCAAATTCATAGGGCTTCTAGAAATCAGGACATTCATAGAAAAATATAGGGTTCCGAAACCTAAGTCAGAGGGCTACTGGCTTGACCCAGCCAGTCTTGCTTCACGACGACTCACTCATCGTTAGTAAAGCTATTCGTTCCAGATCGAGGTGACATGATTTCTAACCGATGTTTTGCTTTCGGAAGAACTTGAGCACTGGAAACCACTTTTCGTTATTCTATCTTGGGCAGTATAAAAATTAATTTGAAGGAATAAAGACGGCTTAATGAACTGCTGAATAGAGTCCTTTTCACGAACACGTAATGGGTTTAACCGGATACGAAAGTAAATTAAGAAAAATCCGATGTCTTAATAACCTTTGTGCGAAGACAAAGTTATGGTGACTGGTTGAAAATGTAGCTCCTAATAGTTTCAGAACTAATGTTTCTTAATAGATCATCTTCTTTTCAAAGATTTTCTGGTTAGCCGGCGTATTCTTGCTAGCAACAAATAAATTTACATAATTAGAACTTCATGGAGGTATAAATGAGGCAAAACTGGCAAAAGAAAGCGCCGACGATGCTTAGCTTCCTAGTTTTTCGGATGCACGAGGACAACGGATGAGAGTATTGCGAGCCGAAATGGAGATTTACATACTGCAATTCGTATATGATCCGTTCAGAGCTTTTCTTTCTTAGCGCTGGGGGAAATAGAATAAAAAGTGCATGAAGAAGAAAGCTGAACAAAGTCGTGGGCTTAGCCACCCACAATGACCGCTATTTGTTCGGAGTGCCCCTTCTACGTTGGCGATGGTTGTGGGTGGCTGGCCAAAGATCGCTCTACGGCCAACGTGCTCCGGCCCGATGTTCGGGGTTTCGAATCTCGTTGGATGTGAACGAGGACGAACACTCATCGGGCTGTCTGATCGGACAGTAGCGAACGCTTATACGACCGGACAAAAAGAAAGTATTTATGGAAAATTTCGTGTGTCTGTGTGGTAGTCATGGTGACGTTCACGTGGTACTTTATCGACCTGGCACTGGCTATATATGGACAAACATTTATGATCGGCTATGCACGTATCGGGATGGATATCGACCAGTCATAAATTGCTTAAGCAAGTTAATTCGCGAAAGCAATTATCGCGAGTTCATTCGCATGATGAAGCAATGTGGAAGCAAAACTGGATTCTTGAAACGTCTATAGATCGAGTGGCCAAGGCAGACCCATTCGTGAGTCGGTGCCGCGATAAAGTTATATTATTCCATTCCTCTCAAGTGCATTTTAAATATTCAAAAACTTTTTGGCAATTATGGACCAAAAATTTGAATATACAACAGCAATGGAGTAGAAGAAAATGATAAGATTACAACCAAAGCAGATTTCGAGCCGAGCCTTGAGAGTTCTGCTAGAAAATGAGCGGACGTGTGGGCGCCTGAGGCTCCTAGCGACCACCATCACGTGGCAATTCTTGAGATTAACAGCCAGAAATTGAATATTCATTCGCTCGTTGGAAGAGAAAAATCGATCCTTGGTCCAGATGATATTGCGTTTGAGAATTCTAACAAATAATAGTGATTATACCGTTTTCACTGAATCGTGTGGTAAATTTCCATGAGGACGACGATGTCGTCGAAAGCCAGTCAAGCAAAAATTTAGTCCTGAGCTCACGTAAGCGCATCAATAAAGCAGGGCATTAAGGCGGAGTCTAAGTTCTGCACCAATTAATTCGAAATCGACACTTCTTTACTAGGTCCATTTCAGAAGTGGTTTCTAATGTAAGGCGAATAATGGGCACTTTACGTTACTGGCGAGCAGGCAAAAAAGTTGAATACAGGACGACGGCCAGTTCCATTTCCAAAGCCACACCATGCATAAGGATATCGTTTACACTAATTAGAAAATGCGCTTTTTTACCAAAAGTTTCCAAACGCGGACCAAACAGCTTGAGATCTCTACTCTCGACCTTTGAGTGAATCACATTGAAATTTAGGTGAGGTAAACTCTGATCAATCGATAAAGTTTAATTCCTTCGAATTTAAAGAGGGAAACGTATGTCCAATATTTTGTAGGTATCGGTGAAAATTTCCTTCTGAACCGGATATTAGTCAACGGGAGGGCAGAGTCCCGAAAGTGTAATCATACTGCTCAAGGGTAAACATTTACATTTGTAGTAAAAGCACTATGAAATTTTCCGATGTTGCGCTAGCCTTAGAACTCTCTCGCGTTTCAAGTTCTGGAAGCAAAATGATAGGAAGTGCATGCAATCTTCAACATCTCATTGAATTGATGAACCGGTCGACTCTGTCGCAAGTAATTTCCTTTGGAAATTAAAAAAATCGGCTACGAAATTTAAATTAGGTTATGGAATTTGAAGGAGAGGGTTTAATGTGTGAATTCTTAACGACTAGCGAGAACTTTTCTTCTGCTTTTGGTGCGGTAGTGAGAAGCCGAGCGAAGTCGAAGTGCTCTCGAAGAGTGTCCGTTAATAAAATATGAATAATAGGGAGCAGCAGTTCGGAAAAAAAGCCTGTCTAGTTGAATTTTTCAATATAACATTGCTGTAAAATGCGAGATATTTGGAAGGCCAATGTTTCAGTCCTCGATTCTCAAACGGTTAATAGTCAATAAACAGATTTGCATATGTAAGGATCTTAAAAAACGAAGTGTTTTGACGCGATATCTGCTTCACCGTTGTTGAGCAGAACTGTTATGAGTACAGAAGTGTGTGACCCGAGTATTCTAGGGATAGCAAGCGAAGTGGCAGAGGAACTTCACGGCTCCGAGGAGGGCCTGCAGTTAATCATAAGGTGACTATCATATAGACCACAAGAATTTCGTATGAAATGTCTAGAGATTGTAGACAACCTAAAAAAACAGAGTCAAAGCCTTGGCATCCGATTAGGGCAAAATCTTTCTTTTTTCTCGCCAACTCTGAAGTAAAACGCAGAAAGCAGTTAGAGATACCATGCAAAATTTGTGACTGGTAGCTTTGTCCTATCAATATCAATTTATCAAATCTGATTGACTTCTTGCACTTAGTAGCGCCAAGCACTTATTTCTTACTACTTGTAGGAAAATTCTAGAGCGACAGCTGTGGTAGCTTAGTGTTCAGAGACCTTAGCAGGAAGTAAGAAGTTGGAAAATTTTGCCACACTGGATTTCTAGTGGACCATGGACGATGACATTCAGTTCAACACGGCTTCCACGTATAATCGTGTTTTACTCCATAGTGTACAAAATGACTCTTCTCTACAGACAAATACTTCGTATGCTCCTAAAGTAAATTAGCTCTACGAAAACCTCTTTGCAAC